GGTCTGGGCCTTAGCTCTGGGACTGCAGACGAGGGGATTCCAAAGCAAGGCCCTGCCAGCCCTTCCTGGCCAGGAGCCCCTCCCCAGGGCTGGCAGAGCGGGGCGATGCTGCCGTAATTCCCTCAGGGCGCAGCGCTAGCGATTCCGCAGGGGCAGCGGCGGCCACACGCCCGCCCTGCCGGGATCCCTCCTTCATCGCGCCGCCCTGTCCCTGCCAGGGCTGCCCACAGACACCAGGGGCTTGTCGCGGTCCCCTGGAGGGAAGGGGCAGAGCTGCACGTGGCTCTGGAGGGAAGGCTGGCGAGAGCTGCCCGGAGCAGTGAGTCCCCTGCGGGGGTGAGGCCAGGGGAGGGGAGGCGAGCCGGTTCCGGTTTGACTGGACTCCATCACCCTCGTGCAGCCGGCTCTGGTCCCAGAAGGGAACCCAACACGCTGGCAGCCGAGACTCGTCCGGCGTGTGGCTGTGGGCCTGACGCGCCCCCTGCAGGGCATGGACTTCCACACTGCCCTGGGCGGGGGGCTGCAGCTCAGAGACTCACCCGAGGTCACACACGGAGTCAGTGGCAGAGCAGGGACTTCCCTGCAGATCTCCAGGCCCTGCGCTAGTGCCCCCGTGACCCATCCTCATGCTCTGGCTGCCTCCGGGGACCCAGACAGCCCATGCATTGAGCTGTTTGCAGCTGGGACGCTCCCTCGGCAGGCCCTTCAGGAGCCTCTTGGATTTCACTGTGGCCTGAGTCAGAGAAAGCCAGGCCCTGGGGCTGGGGCCTTCCTGCTCCCCTGCTGGTGAGAGCCTGGAAGGGGGCCACAGGCTGGCAAGCTGGTCCCTACGGGGGTTGTGGGATGGGGCGGAAGAACCCATTGGGGGGTGCGGGCAGGCGAGCTGGGTGCACACAAGCCCACGTTAACACCCACCCAGTTTGGTTCATCTGCTGTCCTCCGGTGCCCCTCGCAGTGCAGAGCCTCGGCCCCCTTGGCTCTGCTCCAGTCACTCGGCGGCGCACAAGTTTGTGCGCTTGGTGACTCTGGCTTCTGCCTCTTCAGTTTTGCACGGATTCTGTGGTGCTTCCCCGCCCCCACCTGCAGTCTAAGCCTGCTCCTCGGCTATCCGGCGGGACTGGAGCAGAGGCTGAAGACATAAGCCTTATGCTGCTCTAATGATGCTACCCTTGACATTCCTCCTAGGGAGCAGCTCCCTGCCTTGGACCCTGAAGGCGGCCTTGCACTCCCGTCACTGCTGTGAATTGCATTTCCTGCCGTGAGAACAGGGTTCTGTTTCTCTGTGGCCATGGCTGGGGCGCTCTGGCTAGTCTTTACTGACCACAGAGCAGAGCTGATTGGCTCGTTTCTTAGCCAGCGTCCTGCCTCTACTCCCTGCAGGCTGGGCTAGCTGGCTCGAGTCTGGGGATTTCATTGCCAATGGCTTTGAAAGGCTCTTCCTCGAGAAATGTTCCTTATGAGAAAGAGTTTGAACAAAACCACTGAAACAGGGAGTTGAGAAAGGCGAGGTGCTTGGTGCACGGGGCTGCATGGGAAGGAAGTCTGGTGTCTTTCACGAGAATCACGCCCAGGGCTCTTCACACTCACTTTCCTGCTTGCGACCCTGTTGCCTTGGCCCTAGCTCAGACCCCGTCATGTCTCTGAATCGCCACGCTGGTCACTGCCGTGGCGCGCTGCAGGTCCTGGAGAGCCGTAGCGATTGCCGAAACGCACGGCTTGCATTGCTACTTTGCTGAGTCGGCCCATGGCCAGGAGGAGCCATAACCCGCTAACAAAGCACCAGGCCTCAGGCGGCAGTGGCCCCGGGATGTTAGTGTGTGGCCTCCCTGAAGTTCGGAGCCCCCGGCACCGAGTGAAGGGAAAGTCTCTTGGCTTCGGTACTGGGCAGAGGGGCAGGCAGACACCCTCAGCGCTGCCCAGACTGCCCCGCGTTGCCCCCCCTGCCCCGGAGCTAAGGAGCGAGGGAGGAAACCTTATTGCGTAAGCCGCTCAGTAGCCCACCCGGAGCCCAGGGTCAGGGCGGGAGATTGCTGGGCCCCAGGTACAGGGTAGCAAGTGCAGCCTCAGAGGTGGGAATTGAAACCCAGGTTCACTTCACTGCCACAGGAGGTGTGTTGGGTACCAAAGAATCCCACAGCCCCACTGGGCTTCCGCCACAGAAACCTTCCCTTTTCATTGAACCGGGGAAGGTTTTCCACACGTGGAAGCCAACCCCAGGTGCTCCCCCTCCCAGTCACTCGGCCCTGCGGCCTCACGCTCGCGTGGACTCCAGGAGCACTGGCACTTCAACTGGATGCTGGCGAGGGCTGCCCCGGGGAGGGCGTGGGACCCAGCCCTGACCCTGCTTTTGAGGGATTGCCATGTTGGATGTCTCTAGGGGAGCCTGGCCTGCATGCTGGATGTAACAGATACACAGCAGGGCCCTTCCTTCTCCTCGCTCTGGACCTGTGCCTCCCCTCAAACCCACGGGCAGGAATCTGCTGTACACTTCACCGCTGAGCAACTGCCCAAAACGTTCGCCTCAACCCCACCCGACTTGAATACGTCATGGCAGAGTCTCGCTGTGTGGGGGATCAAAAAGCTCCGCCTCGGAGATTTGCCGTTGTGATGAAGTGCCCTCGAGAGCGGGCGTGGAACCACCCCGTTTCTCCTCGCCTGGCTCAGAGAGAAGAAGGAATGTGATTATCAGCTGGAGCGCGGCATGCGCTCGGGAACATTACAGGGGAGGCCGATTCCCAAGAACTAATGACTAATCCGGCCGTAACCGATGATTAGCGTCGCTAATGGAGTTAAGAGCCGAGCCATTACGCTGCAGAGGGAGAGAGAAAAGCTGCTCACAGGACAGGCTAAGCCTTCACTGAATGCAGATGCTATCGCACTGGGTAACTGGAGCATTTCTGTCAGTCTCCAAACACTTAGGCAACATGGTTATTTGGATTCTCTCTCAGAGCCCAGCAACTTTGCTCAGAAGCAGCTATTATTTTCAAGCTATCTGCCTGCCTCATCTTACTGTCTGGGAGTAGTTGAACTTCAGTCAAGATCTGGAAGCCACAGAGGTTCTAAAAGCTACACATGATATGCTAAGAATCACAGCAAGGTTTTAATAAGGCCCCTTGTTAATGATCTGGGAGGCTAGAAATCCAAGGCCTTGTCTGCAGGTGCTAACGAGAGAGCAATCTCATTGAGTCCAGAACTGAGTTTACACCACTCTCGCTGCTCAGTGTTGACAATGCGACTGGGACTAGGCTGGTTTTGTCATGCCATTAAACTAAGCTGTGTTTGGCATTTTGAAGGGAATGGTCTTTAGGAGAGTTGATATGTTAAGGCGAGAGGGAGGTCTGAATGGATCTGTATATCAAACTCCCTTACAATCAACGTGCCGCTTCTGTGACAACATTCCTTCAGACCCTTACAGATCTCTCCTCTGTCCGGAAAGCATTTAGCTGTCACTGCTTCTTTCAGACTCTCAGTGCTGGAAAAGATTTGGGATTGATTTGCTAGTCAAGAGAAGTCTAGTGTCAAGAACCAAGACTTTAGTACATCGCTCATTAGTATTCTGCACATCTAAGTGGAATAAATATCTAATCTTTTGCCAGAGAAAGAGTGGGAAATCATCTGGCATAAATCACATGCTTCAGCAAGGCCTAGTCCTCTAACACATGGGCATTTTCTCTTTCCCCAGTGCATATACTTCTCTAGCTAGCTCTGTCACTTGGATACTAATAGCTGCAATTTCCAGAGCTGATTCTATCACAGTGGAAGGACCCGAAGACCCTTCCGCAGTGATACATGGATTGTGTGCCCGACACATGAAATAAGAGATCTGCAAGCTGTGCTCTGACGTTTGGGGGTTTTCCGGCTTCGCTCAGACTGTCTTGTTCTCCAGTGTGAGCAACGCCAGATTTTGTAGTAGCTGGTGTAGCCTGAATGTACAACCAACGTATCATATTCCTAATGGTCTTCATTGGGCTTTTCACGTCATTTCACATCAGTACGTGCAGCAGCGCAGGAAAGGACGCGTGCACGGGTTGTAACCGTGGGAAGTGAGTGTCGCACTGGGAAGGGACTCGCACGTTCCTTGAAGGGGTTCACCGGAGCTGTGGCTCGGAGCTACAGGACTGGAGTCAGGCTACTTTTTAATCTGTTCCAAATATTCTGCTTTTGAAGAGGAAGGAAAAATACATATCTGGAGCGCAGTGATGCACATTCCAGGATGCCAGGCATAATAATATGGTGCCATTCATTTCAAAATTACAGAGGAAAAAAGAATAATAGGCTAGCTTAATAGTGAGACTCCTGGGTGTGTCAGTTCTATAATGCCAGAGGGATAGCCCGAATTCTGTCAGGTTAATGATCCATTAATGTCTCATCCAACG